ACGTTTTAACAAATAACTAAGACAAAGTTGGTTCATTCTCTCAATAATTTCTGGATACAGTAGTTCTGTCAATGAGTTTATCGTAAATAATTCTATTTCGAAATCATCATCCTGAACAATATTTTCCGACAAGAAGCGTCGTGTGCAATCGTCACCGAGTAAAAACACTTTGCCAGGTATATTCTCGTTCTCATTATGAACTTTAACTCTTGCCTTAAACGCATTATTAAACCAATATGCAAAACGATCCTTGATATCTAATTCTTCTGATGATCCTTTTTCTTGTAGTTTATGAGCGACAAAGAATTTATTCTCGAAAAATTCTGATACATTTTGTATTTCATTTTCGTTAATTTCATGTTCGTAGAACAAAAAAGGTTGTAAAGAATTACTATTAGTAATATTTATACAAAACATAAAAGTTACAATTTTCTTTTTTAAATTGTTAATGTCAATTAATTGTGGTGCAATTTTTTGTTTGTTTGCGTATGCTAGCAAAGTTTTAATAAGAGTATTCCATATAACGTCTATTTGAAATGTAACATAAATGTTATCCATACTAATATTTTTTTCCTCTGATCGCTGCAAGAATTTTTGGAAATTTATTTCAGTGTCGGATGGATTGGGATCATCATCTCTTTCAACAGGATTCTGCAAAATATCACCCGCATTTCCAGATTCAAATTCAATTTTATTATCATCTATAAATCCCTGCACAAACTTGCGCATGTCTCCTGGCCCTCCAACATCTCTTGCGATTTCGGATGCTTTCTGACTAAGTAGATCCTTAGTTATTGTTTTCTGCACTTTATACCATTCAGACAATTGTTTGTACAACTCACTGCAACGCTTGCCTGGAATATGTTTTTCCTGAATTTGTTCAGCACCAGATTGATTAACCATATCATCTTGAACAGGATTTTGCATACTCTTACTCGTATCTAAAGACTCAAATATAATGTTGTAACGTTTTATAAATTTCGTCAAAAAATTATTCAAACCTTTCCTATTCAAATAATAATCAAGAGATTCTCTAATTCTGTTTGCTTCTTGACGGAATAGCACATAAGGAATTGTTTTGTTCGATGCTTTCTGCTCATTACACCATTTGTGTAATTTATTGTCCAAATCATAATATAAAATAAATCCGCTTTTCGATGCTTTCACATTTATTCCTTGATTGACTAATTGATAAATATGTTTTTTATCACTTATTATGCGATAAATGCTTCTTTTATTAATACCAAACTTTCTGGAAATCCAGGCAATCGGCATTTTCTTGTCATGTTCCGCCAGAATTTTAAGTTTGGTTTCAATCGTTATTGTCATCGGTTGCCGTTTGTTAGTTACGCGCTCGGCTGACATGACGAGTTTTGTATATAAAATTATTTTTATATATTTGTTACTGACTTCAGAGCAATCCCACAAATCTTTTTGATACACGATACACGATTTAGAAACGCTGAAATTATATTCGCAACTAAAAATTGTTGTGGCAATTAGATGCTTTTGAGAAGAATATTCCGAACTAACACATATTAAAACATTGGTTGAAAGTCATCCGTGAACTCACTAATAGCAATACTTTCACATTCTCGATGTTTATTGTTTATGTATGGTGACACCTACCAGAATATTATTGTCTATGACATTGTCTGTTACAATAATATAATACATAAAATGATAAATAAAATTATCGAATACAGTTGGGCTCACACACACACACATACACGTGTGCGCACGCGTGATTAGATCTGTGGAAAACTTAAAAATTCCTTAATTTTTGATATTTTGCAAAATAATTATAAAACTTTACTAGTGACAATAAAGAAAGAAATCTATATTTTATAAATTGAGTATATTTACAACACCATTAGCAAAAATAAAACCAGGCACATGATATCCTTTACAAGAATTTTCAAATATTTATTTTAATGTCACGAAAATATTCGCGTTATTCATTGTAATTGCAATCAAAAATTACAGAATAGCAAAAAAAAACGGTACAGAGAAAATATGGCAGCGTTACGTTGCCTATTGAATAGAGAAAACGGTAGAGAGAAATATTATAATCCTAAATTAGTATATATTTTAATAACAGCATCATAGTTAAAAATTCTTTTGCACTTGTATATAATATTTATATACTAATTAATTCTAATATAGACAAAATGCTTTCTATATAATAATAATAATTACAAATATATAAATACATATTACATATAAATATAATATTGTAATAATGATTCCGTAATTTTATTTAATTTAAAATATAAAAAATAAAAGATACTTCTTCCTCTCTTCTGCAGATTTTTCGTACTCTTCAATGACTTGTCTAACACATTGACATATCTATAAAATTTCGCCGTTTCAGATATATTATAAAAACATTAATATATTTTTTAATACATTTACTGTTTCAGCATTATATTTAAATATTTTAAACACAACCCTTTATCCAAATATATTATCTTACACTATTTCTTCGGCGATCGGAGGATATCCATAAAGATATATCAGTTTTATTCTTTCCTCGATTCTTTGCTTTTTTTCTTTTTATTTCTCTTTTTACGCTGTCCACGCATGCGCCCGAAAATGCATTATTACGATTCACGATGCGAAATCATTTTCCGGTGTCGACATAATCGTTCGTACCAATATCGCGAATAAATAGTTCGTTGAATTTTCAATATAAATGAATTTCGAATATTATACAACGTTAAAGAGATTCATATATTCTTAAACAAAAATCGATAGATATTATTTCAGTATAAAATATTTAGAAATAATTATTAACATTTAAATATTTTACTCCAAATTATTTGTCAATAACATTTGTCCGATTTTGTAATCTCATCTTTTGAAAAAAGTTATTTTGAAAAATTGTATGCACCACACGTATCTCCTTTCCTTATACTTTACATACATGTAAAGTACACACGTCCACAATAAGATCGCATCTTTTTTCAATTTTATGGACTCGCTCGTTTGTAACTATAATTCCTATCATTATAAGAGACAGCTTAGCGAAATTTGATAAATTCCCGATTGCAAACAGAATAATATTAATGCTGATTTTTGCAAATATATATGTAGCATATTTTATTCCAATTTTATTTGACAACGTAGAGGATATTTCTCCAATTAAATTGCGGTTGGTAATGAAAACTACCACAAAAAATTTTAAGGGCGCATTTAAATCATAGCAAAAACGCATGTGCTTTCAAGAGAACAACTATGAAAAAGAAACGATGGTAAATAAAATACATATAATAAAGGCAATTTATTTCATTAATACATGTATATGTCGACAACTTTTAATTAGAACATTGCATTTATATACATCTTCCTAACTATAAGATATTTGCTAGAAAAAACTTCTAAAGATCGAGAATGTAACATGATAAAAATTAATTACGTTAATATATTTAAAACACAATTAAACTATTAAAGTAAAACTAATTCTGATAAATCAAGATAAAATTTTATTCAGATAATAATTAAGCATATAAACACTTTTATTAACTGTTAAATTTTTATCAAAAAATAAGTTAAAATTTACATTTTCATCTTGTAATATATTCGAATATATTCTGACAGTTAAGAAATAAAAACAATATTCGTTACTAATTTTAATTCTAAAAAATTTGTATGTTATTTATATATAAGCACTTACATTATATTTCTTAATTTACATTATTTAATTAAATTAAACCACTTCAATCATATGCCCAATGAAATAAAGCAACGTCAAGAGCAATTTGCAAGTACATCAATAATGGCGAATTCAATTGGATGTGCACTGGAATACATTAAAAATTATCATACACAACTAATAAGTTGTACATGATAACATATATTATATTCAATATAAATTTTAATATATATTATATACAATAAATATTTTAATATATATTATTGATAATATAAATTATTGATAATATATATATTTTAGAATATATATTATATATAATATATTTTTATTCTATGTATACGTAAATTAAATAATGAAAAGATAAGTGTAATATTATACAAGTAATAGTATTATTATTTGTACAATTAATGAACAATAATATATACTATTAGCTATTAATATTGATATTTTAGATTTATTTTTATTTATTTATTTATGCCATTGTGTAAAGTGTGCAATAATCTTTCTATGTGCACACTAATGCATCCAACGGAATTCTCTGTAAGCGAACATTCAAATATCTTAATAATTAAAAAATAGACGAAAAAATTTGAGCATCCACATAAAAATATGTAGAAATAGTCTCTAACAGAATTATTCATTCATTATATATATATATATACGTGTATATGTGTAAACTATAATACAGTACTTCTTTAACTAAGACAACAAAAATCTAATGCAGAAATAGAATAATAAATAAATACCGCATATATGATCTCGTACCATTCTTTAAACAACGGCTTTATCAGTTGCATCTCCGAAAATAGAATTCAAGTTTTCTTTAAAATTTCTACGTATATTTTCGCTAATTTCGAAATTCTTTCGAGCATACAACATTCCTCAATACGCGCGAAAAACATAATTTCTAATCGCTGTTAGTCACTTCCGAGCAAATATAGCTCATTGTCAGACGAGACCATGATTCTTATGTTTTGAAAAATTGTGGTTTTCTTTTAACTCCTGTTATAGAAAATTCTAACGGATCTATAAATGACGGAAATTGTAATCTTTTCACTGTCAATACCAAAGATCTATAGTTTACGTACACCACAGATTTTCAGTACTAAAAGTAAATGTTGGAACGTACTATAAATATGAAATTATATGCATGTTTTAATAAGTACACATCGGAATAACGTAATAAAAATTTTACATACAAAATGCAATGTTTTTATAATTTTTAACTTATATACGATTTAATCACCAGAGAGCTAAATACTTCGTTTAATATTCATTTGATATTTTTTATTTGAATTCTTTTTCTTCTGCTATTATTTATTCTAAATTATCAAAAAATGTTATTTAGTGTCTTCTCTTTTTGTTTTTAATGTTTGTTTTTAGTGTCTTCAATATTTTCCGCTTCTTCTTAATGTCTTTCTTCTCTTTCACCTTCTTCTCTAGAAATTAAAAATATCTACCATCAGTATATATTTAATTTGGAACAAATCTCTTTTCTCTCGACTTAATTAAATTTTGTGAAGTAACTTAAGTTAAAAATGGAATACCTTCTCGCGATTGATGGTCTTACAAATCTCCATAATTTTACTTCTTTATTTAGCACGATGTCTGCCCATGCTTTTCTGAGTACATTCGTGCACCAACTTATATTGTACTCCTTGTAGAATTCTGTGTTGAACATAGTTTGAGGAGAAAATTTCTGTACACGTTTTGACAAATAACTAAGACAAAGTTGGTTCATTCTCTCAATAATTTCTGGATACAGTAGTTCTATCAATGAGTTTATCGTAAATAATTCTATTTCGAAATCATCATCCTGAACAATATTTTCCGACAAGAAGCGTCGTGTGCAATCGTCACCGAGTAAAAACACTTTGCCAGGTATATTCTCGCCCTCATTATAAACTTTAACTCTTGCCTTAAACATATTATTAAACCAATATGCAAAACGATCCTTGATATCTAATTCTTCTGATGATCCTTTTTCTTGTAGTTTATGAGCGACGAGGAATTTATTCTCGAAAAATTCTGATACATTTTGTATTTCATTTTCGTTAATTTCATGTTCGTGGAACAGAAAAGGTTGTAAAGAATTACTATTAGTAATATTTATACAAAACATAAAAGTTACAATTTTCTTTTTTAAATTGTTAATGTCAATTAATTGTGTTGCAATTTTTCGTTTGACTGCGTGCGCTAGCATAGTGTTAATAAGAGTATTCCATATAACGTCTATTTGAAATGTAACATAAATGTTATCCATACTAATATTTTTTTCCTCTGATCGCTGCAAGAATTTTTGGAAATTTATTTCAGCGTTGGATGGATTGGGATCATCATCTCTTTTAACAGGATTCTGCAAAATATCACAAGCATTTCCAGATTCTAATTTAATATTATAATCATCTATAAATCTCTGCACAAACTTGCGCATGTCTCCTGGCCCTCCAACATCTCTTGCGATTTCGGATGCTTTCTGACTAAGTAGATCCTTAGTTATTGTTTTCTGCACTTTACACCATTCATACAATTGTTTGTCCAACTCACTGGAACGCTTGCTTGGAATATGTTTTTCCTGAATTTGTTCAGCACCAGATTGATTAACCTCATCCTCTTGAACAGGATTAACCTTATCATCTTGAACAGGATTTTGCAAACTCTCATTCGTATCTGGAGACTCAAATATAATGTTGTAACGTCTTACAAATCTCCACAATAAATCTGTCAAAGTTTTCCTATTCAAATTATAATCAAGAAATTCTATAATTTCGTTTGCTTTTTGACGAAGTAGCGCACGAGTAATTGTTTTGTTCGATACTTTCTGCTTATTATACCAATCGTATAATTTAATGTCCAAATCAAAATACATACTATGACTGCTTCTCGATTTTTTCACATTTATTCCTTGACTGACTAATTGATGAATATGTTCTTTGTGCTTTATTATGTTATAAATGGTTGTATTGTTAATACCAAACTTTCTGGAAATGGAGTCAACCGACATTTTCTCGTCATGTGCCTTCAGAATTGCAAGTTTGGTTTCAATCGTTATTTCCGTCCTTTGCCGTTTGTTAGTTACGCGCTCGGCTGACATGACGAATTTGGTATATAAAATTACTTTTATATATTTGTTACTGACTTCAGAGAAATCCCACAAATCTTTTTGATACACGATACACGATTTAGGAACGCTGAGATTATATTCGCAATTAAAAATTGTTGTGGTAATTAGATGCTTTTGAGAAGAATTTTCCGAACTAACACATATTAAAACATTGGTTGAAAGTCATCTGTGAACTCACTAACAGCAATACTTTCACATTCTTGATGTTTATTGTTTATGTATGGTGACACCTACCAGAATATTATTGTCTATGACATTGTCTGTTACAATAATATAATACATAAAATGATAAATAAAATTATCGAATACAGTTGGGCTCACACACACACACACACACACACACACACACACACACATACACGTGTGCGTTGTTATATCTGTAGAAAACTTATAAATTCCATAATTTTTGATACTTTGCAAAATAATTATAAAACTTTACTAGTAACAATAAAGAAAGAAATCTGTATTTTATAAATTGAGTATATTTGCAACACCATTAACAAAAATACAACCAGGCATATGATATCCTTTACGAGAATTTTCAAAAATGTACTTTAATGTTACGAAAATATTTGCGTAACCCATTGTAATTGCAATCAAAAATTACAGAAGAGCAAAAAGAAAAAAACGGTACAGAGAAAATCTGAGAGCGTTACGATGCCTATTGAATGGAGAAAACGGTAGTGAAATTTATTATGATTCTGAATTACCAGAATAACATTAATAAGGTAGTATATTTTAATAACAGCATCATAGTTATAAACTGTTTTGCACTTGTATATAATAATTATATACTAATTAATTCTAATATAGACAAAATTCTTTTTATATAAAAAATAATAATTACAAATATATAAATACATATTACATATAAATATAAACATGTAATAATAATTCCGTAACTTTATTTAATTTAAAATATAAAAAATAAAATATTCTTTTTCCTCTCTCCTGCAGATTTTTCGTACTCTTCAATGACTTGTCGAACACATCTATCATATCTATAAAATTTCGCCATTTCAAATATATTATAAAAACATTAATATATTTTTTAATACATTTACTGTTTCAGCACTATTTTTAAATATTTTAAACACAACCCTTTGTCCAAATATATTATCTTACACTATTTCCTCGGTGATCGGAGGATATCCATAAAGATATATCAGCTTTATTCTTTTCTCGATTCTTTGCTTTTTTTCTTTTTTTCTCTCTTTTACGCTGTCCACGCATGCGCCCGAAAATGCATTATTACGATTCACGATGCGAAATCATTTTCCGATGTCGACATAATCGTTCGTACCAATATCGCGAATAAATAGTTCGTTGAATTTTCAATATATAAATGAATTTCGAATATTATACAACGTTAAAGAGATTCATATATTCTTAAACAAAAATCGATAGATATTATTTCAGTATAAAATATTTAGTAATAATTATTAACATTTAAATATTGTACTCCAAATTATTTGTCAATAACATTTGTCCGATTTTGTAATCTCATCTTTTGAAAAAAGTTATTTTGAAAAATTGTATGCACCACACGTATCTCCTTTCCTTATACTTTACATACATGTAAAGTACACACGTCCACAATAAGATCGCATCTTTTTTCAATTTTATGGACTCGCTCGTTTGTAACTATAATTCCCATCATTATAAGAGAGAGCTTAGCGAAATTTGATAAATTCCCGATTGCAAACAGAATAATATTAATGCTGATTTTTGCAAATATATATGTAGCATATTTATTCCAATTTTATTTGACAGCGTAGAGGATATCTCTCCAATTAAATCGCGGTTGGTAATGAAAACTATTACAAAAAATTTTTAAGGCGCATTTAAGTCATAACAAAAACGCATATGCTTTCAAGAAGACAACTATGAAAAGGTGACGATGGTAAATAAAATGCATATAAAAAAAACAATTTATTTCATTAATACATGTATATGTCGGCAACTTTTAATTAGAACATTGCATTTATATTCATTTTCCTAACTATAAGATATTTGTTAGAAAAAACTTCTTAAAATCGAAAATGTAACATGATAAAAATTAATTACGTTATAAATTTAAAATACATTTAAACTATTAGAGTAGAACTAATTATGATAAATCAAGATAAAATTTTATTCAGATAATAATTAAGCATATAAACACTTTTATTAACTGTTAAATTTTTATCAAAAATTAAGTTAAAGTTTACATTTTCATCTTGTACGAATATTTTCTGACAATTAAGAAATAAAAACAATATTCGTTACTAATTTTAATTCTAAAAAATTTGTATGTTATTTATATATAAACACTTACATTATATTTCTTAATTTACATTATTTAATTAAATTAGACTACTTAAATCATATGATCAATGAAGTAAGGCAACGTCAAGAGCAATTTGCAAGTACATAAATAATGGCGAATTCAATTGGATGTGCACTGGAATACATTAAAAATTATCATACACAACTAATAAGTTGTGCATGATAACATCTATTATATTCAATATAAATTTTAATATATATTATATACAATAAATATTTTAATATATATTATTGATAATATAAATTATTGATAATATATATATTTTAGAATATATATTATATATAATATATTTTTATTCTATGTATACGTAAATTAAATAATGAAAAGATAAGTGTAATATTATACAAGTAATAGTATTATTATTTGTACAATTAATGAACAATAATATATACTATTAGCTATTAATATTGATATTTAAGATTTATTTATTTTTATTTATTTATTTATGCCATTGTGTAAAGTGTGCAATAATCTTTCTATGTGCACACTAATGCATCCAACGGAATTTTCTGTAAGCAAACATTCAAATATCTTAACAATTAAAAACTCACGAAAAAGTTTGGGCATCCACATAAAAATATGTAGAAATAGTCTCTAACAGAATTATTCATTCATTATATATATATACGTGTATATGTGTAAACCATAATACAGTATTTCTTTAACTAAGACAACAAAAATCTAATGCAGAAATAGAATAATAAATAAATACCGCATATATGATCTCGTACCATTCTTTAAACTACGGCTTTATCAGTTGCATCTCCGAAAATAGAATTCAACTTTTCCTTAAAATTTCTACGTATATTTTCGCTAATTTCGGAATTCTCTCGAGCATACAACATTCCTCAATACGCGCGAAAAACATAATTTCTAATCGCTGTTAGTCACTTCCGAGCAAATATAGCTCATTGTCAGACGAGACAATGATTCATACGTTTTGAAAAATTGTGGTTTTCTTTTAACCCTTGTTATAGAAAATTTTAACGGATCTGTAAATGACGGAAATTGTAATCTTTTCACTGTCAGTTACAATGTCAGTTACAATGGACTAAATAGTAAAAACACAAAGATAAGTCTAATATAATACAAGTATTAGTATCATTATTTGTACAATTAATGAACAATAATACTATTAGCTTTTAATATTAATTATTTTTGATTAATTTTTTTACCTATTTATGCCATTGTAAAGTTTGCAATAATCTTTAATGTGCGCACTAGTGTATCCAACCGAATTAGCTATAAGCAACCTTTCAAATATTTTATTAATTAAAAAACAGACAAAAAAATGTGTGCACGCAAATAAAAATTTATAGAAAAAGTCTTTAATAGAAAAATTCATTCAAAATATATATATATATGTGTATGTGTAAACTATAATACAGTACTTCTCACTAATTGTAAGAGAACAATCTAATGCAGAAAAACGATAGGAAATAAATATCTCAAATTTGATTTTGTACCATTCTCTGAACTACGGCTTTATCAATTGCATCTTCGAATAAGGAATTCAAGTTTTCTTTAAAATTTCTACGTATATTTTTGCAAATTTCGAATTCTCTCAAGCATACAACGTTCCTCAATACGCGCGAAAAACACAATATCTAATCGCTGTATGTCGCTTCCGAGTAAATACGGCTCAATCAAGACCATGATTTATATGTTTTGAAAAATTATTGTTTTCTTTTAACCCTGGATATAAAAAATTTTTTTAAATCTGTAAACAACGACGACTGTAATCTTTTCACTGCCAGTACCCTAAATCTTTAGTTTACGTACACCACAGATTTTCAGTACTAACTGTGAATATTGAAACGCACCTATAACATAAAATTATATGCATGTTTTAATAAGTGAATAACGGATTAACGTTATAAAAAAATTTTACATACAAAAGTGCGATGTTTTCATAATTTTTAAAATTTATACGATTTTATCACCAGAGAGCTAAATACTTCGTTTGATAGTTATTTGATATTTTTTATTTGAATTCTTCTTCTGCTACTATTAACTATTTATTCTAAATTACCAAAAAATGTTATTTAACGTCTTCTTTTTTTTGTTTTTCTTGTTTGTTTTTAGTGTCTTCAATATCTTCCCCTTCTTCTTAATGTTCTTCTCTTGCGCCTTCTTCTCTAGAAACTAAAAATATCTACTATCAGTATATTTAATCTGGAACGAATCTCTTTTCTCTCGACTTAATAAAATTTTGTGAAGTAATTTAAGGTAAAAATGGAATACCTTCTCGTGGTTGACGGTCTTGTTTTACAAATCTCCATAATTTTACTTTTTCATTTGGCGCGATGTCTTCCCATGCTTTTCTGATTACAATCGTGCACCAACTTATATTGTACTCCTTGTAGAATTCTGTGTTGAACATAGTTTTAGAAGAAAATTTCTGTACACGTTTTAACAAATAACTAAGACAAAGTTGGTTCATTCTCTCAATAATTTCTGGATACAGTAGTTCTGTCAATGAGTTTATCGTAAATAATTCTATTTCGAAATCATCATCCTGAACAATATTTTCCGACAAGAAGCGTCGTGTGCAATTGTCACCGAGTAAAAACACTTTGCCAGGTATATTCTCGTTCTCATTATGAACTTTAACTCTTGCCTTAAACGCATTATTAAACCAATATGCAAAACGATCCTTGATATCTAATTCTTCTGATGATCCTTTTTCTTGTAGTTTATGAGCGACAAAGAATTTATCCTTGAAAAATTCTGATACATTTTGTATTTCATTTTCGTTAATTTCATGTTCGTAGAACAAAAAAGGTTCTAAAGAATTACTATTAGTAATATTTATACAAAACATAAAAGTTACAATTTTCTTTTTTAAATTGTTAATGTCAATTAATTGTGGCGCAATTTTTTGTTTTTTGCGTGTGCTAGCAAAGTTTTAATAAGAGTATTCCATATAACGTCTATTTGAAATGTAACATAAATGTTATCCATACTAATATTTTT